TTAAAAGGACAGGACCCACCAATCCCTAGGTTTTGGCCTCATTGGGGTTTTCTAGGCAGAGACTCTACTGCTGAGCCACAAAGTAAACTGTTGAAAAAACCACACTGATCTCACAGAATACTGGGGTAAAAGCTGTTCTCATCTTTTGGGAAATAGAGGTAAGTTGGACATGGTGGCACAAGTGGTACAGGCCTGTCATCCTAGCACCTGGGAGGTTAAGACAGGATTGCTGAGAGTTCAAGGACACCCTAGACCACGAGACCTGTCTCAAGAAAAAAAATCAAGCAAATAAAATTAGGATTGGGGCTAAGTTGACAGAGCACTTGCCTAGCATGCATAAAACACTAGCTCCTAGCTTCATAACCGGTAATGCATAAACTGGGTGTGAGGCGCACACTTGTGATCCCAGCCCTTCAGAAGGTGGAGGGAGGAGAGTCAGGAGTTCAAGATCATCCTTGGCTACATAAGTTTGAGGCCAACCTGGGCTATAGGATGTTTTTGGATAGGGCCTCACTAGTAGGCCAGGCTTGCCTTGAACTCCTGGTAATGGCCCGCAAATCCTGGTATTAAAGGTGTGTACCACAACACTCGGCTTTAGACTCTGTCTAAAAGAGAATTAAAAGAAAGACTCCAACCAAGGCGTGGTGGCACGGCCTTTAGTCCTAACTCGAGGCACAGGCAGGCGGATCTCTGTCAGTTCGAGGCCAGCCTGTAGCTGGGGCTACAGGGAGCCCTTGTCTCAAAAAGACCAAAAAATAAGTAAATAGAAATAAGACAGGCTCTTTAGGGATGGGAACAGTGGCGCACATCTGTATAACATCATTAGGGAGGCTGAGACAGGTCAGCCTGACTACAAAGTGAAAGCCTTTCACTCAGTCAATAGGATTTGTGGAGCTGGGGGTGGTGGTGCTGGAGAGGTGGAGACTGGAGGATCAGCTATATAGCGAGTTCGAGGCCAGCCTGGGCAATAAGATAGCCCCGCTGACCCACGTCAGCGGACGAGGGCCGCAGCGTGAGCACCGGAAGCGGCCCCGTCCGCCGCCCACCTTCACCCGCTGCGCCTCGTTGATGCACTGCTGGTAGCTGCCGATGTAGAAGGCATTCTTCACGTCGAACAGCTCGTCCACCTCTCCGGAGCCGCCAGTGGACGCACTGGGAACCGGAGGCGCCATGTCTCTCCCACAACTCTAACCGCTGCTCTTCCTGAGGGACACGTCGGCCGGAAGCAGGGGCCGTGTCACGGTACAGCATGGGAAATGTAGTTCTACCGAAAGAGTGTCCTTGGCCGCTGGGAGGGGCTGAAACCCAAGCCACGCGTGACCAGCGCGCCTCGCTAAGCATCTCGGGAATTCTAGTTTTATTCTCTTCAGCAAGCAGGAGTTTCAGAGGAAAACAGATGAAAAAGGTCGAGATCGGTATTGGCCAAGGGTGCTTCCCGTGACGTCACATTCGTGCGCCGGAAGCTTCCCACATTCCTCTCCCCAACTCAGGTGGCAAGGATGTCGGGATTCGCGGAGCTCGGGCTGTCGTCTTGGCTTGTGGAACAGTGTCGGCAACTGGGGTTGAAGCAGCCTACACCTGTACAGCTCGGTTGCATCCCCGCCATCCTGGAGGGTGAGTCCTTCCGTTCTTCTCGTGCCTCCGTCCTCTCTTCGTTGGTCCCAGGAGGCAGGGGCAGCCTTGGGTGTTCGGGGGGCCTGACCAGCAAGCTTTGGCATTTAGGCTGCGACTGACTCGTGTGGATACTCCTGATAAAACCAGGACAGCGCACTCCTGGTTTTCTACTCACTTTTGCCTTTAAAGCGATTCCTTTGGGCCAGGCCGTTATGGTGTACCCTGTCATCCCAGCACTGAGAAGAGGGAGGCAGGAAGAAAGAATCAAGAGTTCAGCTGTCTAGCAAATCCGAGGGCAGCCTAGATACTTGAGACTCTGAGACAAACATAATAATGATTAAGTTAACAACCAAAGGGACCAGCTGTGGCCTTTGCTTCATGTTAATAGGCTTTACCCACTGTGCAGGTCGTGACTGCTTAGGCTGTGCAAAAACGGGCAGTGGTAAGACTGCAGCCTTTGTGCTCCCTATCTTGCAAAAGCTGTCGGAGGACCCCTATGGCATCTTCTGCCTCGTCCTGACACCCACCAGGTGAGCCTTCAACACACCTCTTGGTGTGACTTCACCAGCTGTATTCTGTTGGGCAAGCACCTTGACCTCTCTGAGCCACATTTTTCTCTTGTGTGAAACTGGACAAAAATCAGGCCTCCCTCTTAGGGGGTGCAGAACCAAGCAAGATTGTGTGTGTGTGTGTGTGTGTGTGTGTGTGTGTAAGGTTCTCAGGACTCAGGGCAACAGCTGTCCAGAGGGAGCTGCCAGCAGTCCTTCATCTGGAGAAATAAAGAGATAATCTAGAATGAGCTCTTGCTGTTACTTCAGTGGGTAAAGGTGCTTGGTACCAAGCCTGACGACCAGAGTTCAATCCCCAGGACCCACATGGTGAAAGGAGAAAACTGCCTTTCAAGTTGTCCTCTGACCTACACACACACTGAAGCATGCTTTTGTGCAGTCACACAATTTTTTTTTTTTTTTTTTTTGGTCTTTTTGAGACAGGGTCTCCCTGTAGCCCCAGCTGTCCTGGAATTCACTATGTAGACCAGGCTGGCCTTGAACTCACAGAGATCCGCCTGCTTCTGCCTCCGGAGTGCTGGGATAAAAGGCATGCACCACCACACCGGGCCGACACACAAAATTTTTAAATTTATTTTTATGTTACTTTATATGTGAGTCTATTACCTGCATGTATGTAAGTGCACCTGTGTCAAGCAGTGCCCACATCCAGATTCCCTGGGACTGGAGTTATAGATGGTTGTTAGCTGCCATGTGGGTGCTGAGAATTGAACCTGGGTCCTCTGCAAGGGCAGCCCTTAACTGCTGAGCCATCTCTCCAGCCCCAGCTGACTTTGAACTTGCTATGTAGACCAGGCTGGCCTTGAACTCACAGAGATGCCTCTGCCTCCCAAGTGCTGGGACTAAAGGCATGTGCCACCACACTGGGCCCAAATAATGTTTTTAAAAGATTTTAAAGAACAGGGTGTGCTGGCACATGCCTTTAATTCTAGCACTCCAAAGGCAGAGACAGGCAGATTTCTGAGTTCAAGGCCAGTGTGGTCTACATAGTGAGTTCCAGGCAAGCCAGGGCTGCAGGGAGACCCTGTCTCAAAAATGAATAAATAAATATATTCTAAGTACAGCAACAACTTATGTGCCTATGTGTAGTGGAATGAGAGAGTCAGGGAACAGAAAGGATTAGGGCCAGGCTGTTAGAGCAATTTGAATATGGGCTCAGCTGCCAGGAGTAAGGTTAGAATTGATTGTGTGCATGTGTGTACTCTGGGTATGGTTGTGCATGCCTTTAGTCCCAGCACTTGGGAGACAGAGGCCTGCGGATCTCTGTGAGTTTGAGGCCAGCCTGGTCTACATAATGAGTTCCAGTTCAGCTGGGACTACAGGAGGACCCTATCTCAATAAGACAAAAAAAAAAAAAAAGGTTTACAGTTATTTGTATGAGTGTGTACATGCACAAGTGCAATGCCCACAGACACCAGAAGAGGGCATTGGACCTCCTGAAGCTGGAGTTACAGGTAATTGTAAGCTGCCTGAAGTGCTTACAGTTCTTTGGGTGCTAAGAACTGAACTCAGGTTGTCTGTAAGAGCAGAATGCTCTCTTAACCACTGAGTGGTCATCTCTGCAGCCCCCCCCCTTATATTTTGACATAGAGTCTCTCACTGAACCTGGAGCTCACCAATTGGCTAGGCTTGCTGTCAGGTGAGCCCCTCTAGCCCTCTTGTCCCAATGTCCCTCCTCCACCCCCCCAGTGAAGTTAGAGATGTGGTTGCCTCACCCATCTTACACGGTACTGGGGACATGAGCTCAGGTGCTAGTACTTGAACAGCAAGCAGTTTATCCAGTGAGCCATCTCCCCAATCCTAGAATTTACTTTAAAATTTTTTATTATATTTAGTTATTGTGTGTGTATATGTTTGAGTATGCCATAATGCATGAGTGGAGGTGACAGGACAACCTGAAGGAGTTATTTCTCTCCTTCTACCATCTGGGTCCTGGGGTCCTGGGGATGGAACTCTGGTCATCCAGCTTGGCAGCAGCACTTTTACCTGTTCAGTCATGTCATCAGCTCTCCTAGAATTAATTTTGAGGAGGCCCCCAACACTAGGGAGGTGAAGACAGTGAAGAGCTAAGAAGGAGATGGGATGGGCTATCTCACTGACCCGGCTGTACCTTTGAGCCTACAGGGAGCTGGCCTACCAGATCGCAGAGCAGTTCCGGGTGCTGGGGAAGCCGCTGGGCCTGAAGGACTGCATCATAGTCGGTGGCATGGGTATGAGGGTTGAGAGACCAGGAAGGGCTCTGGGCATGGGAGCCCTGTAGCCTAACCCCCTCGCCCCCACTTGGTCTCACCTCTCCCACTTTACCCCCAGACATGGTAGCACAGGGACTGGAGCTGTCCCGGAAGCCACATGTGGTGATCTCTACACCCGGACGCCTGGCCGACCACCTGCGCAGTTCCAACACCTTCAACATGAAGAAGATCCGCTTTCTGGTGAGCTGGCTAGTCCCTTGCTAGCCTTGGGAGCTAGGTTTGGGACCTCTGGGCAACGTTGGGAGTGAGGGGCACACTTTCTGTGGGACATGGGTTCTGCAGATCAGGCAAAAGGCTAGAAATTGAGAAAAGGGCCAGCCCAGTGTGGTGGCACATACCTGTGATCCAGCACTCAGGAGACAGAGGCAGGAGGACTTCTGTGAGTTCAAGGCCAGCCTGGTCTACATAGAGTTCCACAACAGCTGGGGCTACAAGACAACCCTGTCTCAAAAAATAAAAATTTTTTTTTTTTTTAATTTTTAAAAAAATTGTATTCAGTAGCCAGGTGTGGTGGCACACACCTGTAGTCCCAGCACTTGGGAGGCAGAGGCAGGAGGATCTCTGTGAGTTCAAGACCAGCCTGGTCTACATAGTGAGTTCCGGGACAGCTGGGGCTACAGGGAGACCCTGCTTCAAAAAGACAAAATATATATATATATGTATATTTTTATTTTATGTTTGTATACATGTATTGCCTGCATGTAGGTCAGTGCACTCCTGTCATGCAACGCCAGGGGAGGTCAGAAGAGGCTGTCAGATCCCCTGGGACTGGAGTTATGGACAGTTGTTAGCTGCCATGTGGGTGCTGGGATTCGAATCCGGGTCTTCTGCAAGAACAACCAGTGTTCTTAAACGTTGAACCATCTCTCCAGCACCCAGATTTTTTTTTTAATTTTTAAGAGAGGTCAGGTGTGGTGGTACATGCCTTTAATCCCAGCACTCAGGAGGCAGGGGCAGACGGGTCTCTGAGATTGAGGGCAACCTGATCTACATAGTGAGTTCCAGGCTAGCTGGGGCTGTAGGGAGACCCTGCCCCTCAAAAGACAAAGAAAAGAAAAAAACATTTTAAGAGAGACAAGGGATCTAGAAGGAGGGACATGCAGGGGGTTGGGGCTGAGGCCTGGGTGTCAGCATTCAGGAAGGGCCAGGAATAGGCAGGTGGGCTAGGCTTTGGGTTCATAGATTGAGTGCTTGCCAAGCATGTGCAGGCCTCTGGGATCTGTCCCAGCCCTGCTGAGCATGTACAAACCCCTGGATTCTATTCCACCTCTGCTGAGCGTGCAAAGTTCCCCAGGTTCCATCTCAGCCCTGCGGGAGCGAACAGGCCCTCAGTTTCTTCCTGGCAGTGGCTGAACACACAGAGCCCGGGTTCCATCCCCAGTTCTTGCCCTTGCCCACCTCATTTGCTCACCCCCCAACGCTGCAGGTGATGGATGAGGCGGACCGGCTGCTGGAGCAGGGCTGTACCGACTTTACCACGGACCTAGAGACCATCCTGGCTGCAGTGCCCTCTCGCAGGCAGACGCTGCTGTTCAGCGCAACACTCACTGACACACTCAAGGAGTTGCAGGGCCTGGCGACCAATCAGCCTTTCTTCTGGGAGGCAGAGGCCCCGTGAGTTCCACAGCTATGGGGTTAGGGTCCTGTCACGCCCAGAGAGGTCAGGCAGAAGAGGAACCAGGCTGAGCTGTCTTCCTTCCTTCAGGGTGTGCACAGTGGAGCAGCTAGACCAGCGCTATCTGCTGGTGCCGGAGAAGGTGAAGGATGCCTACCTGGTGCACCTGGTCCAGAGCTTCCAGGACCAACATGAGGACTGGTCCATCATCATCTTTACCAACACCTGCAAGTGAGTGCCACAGAGGCAATGGGGTCATGCCAGGCCTGGGCCTTTCTTCAGAGTCAGGTCACCTCACAGGAAGGTGAAGTCAGGCCCGGCCTGATGGTACACACCTGTGATCCCAGCACTGGAGAGGCTGAGGCAGGAGGATCAGTAGCTCTAGGCCAATCCCAGCTACACAGAGACCCTGTCTTCAAACACAGGCTGGGAAAATGGCTCTGACTATAAAGTGCTTACCATATAACGTGAGGGGTTGGATCCTCAGACATGGAACCAGGTGTGGTGGCACATGCCTTTAATCCCAGTACTCTGGAGGTAGAGGCAAAGGCAGGAGGATCTCTATGAGATTGAGGCCAGCCTGGTTTACATAGGAAGTTCTAGGCCAGCTGGGGCTGCAGGGAGACCCTGTCTCATATTTTAAAAAAGCAGCAGCAGCAGCCAGGCATGAGCGCTTACAGTTGCGCTGAGAAGGTGGAGAGAGGAGAACCCCCAGGCTCTTTGGTCCTGGTGAGTACCTGATCAATGAGAGACCCTGTCTTAAAGGAGGTAGTCCACTTTCCTGAAGATGACACCTGACATCGTCCTCCAGTCTCCACATGTGCACACTCACACACATACTGCACACTTATAAAACCAAAAAGAGGCTGGAGAAGTGGCTCAGTGATTAAGAGCACTGACTGCTCCTGCAAAGGACCCATGTTCAATTCATAGCACCCACATAGTGGCTAACAACTGTCTGTAACTCCTGTTCCAGGGAATCTGATGCCTTCTGACCTCTGCAGGTATTGCATGACATGGGTACACTGACATACATGCAGGCATACACATAAAAGTCAAAAAAGAAAAAAGACCGGGCATGGTGGTGCAGGCCTTTAATCCCAGCACTCAGAGAGCAGAGGCAGGCAGATCTCTGTTAGTTCAAGGCCAGCCTGGTCTACATAGTGAGTTCCAGGCCAGCTGGGGCTACAGGGAGACCCTGTCTCAAAAAGACCAAAAAAAAAAAAAAAAAAAAAAGCCATTGGCTGTCTCAGTCTGAATCAGGATAGAGGATCCAGCAGGATAGAGGGCAATTCTTGTTGGTCCTGCCTGGCTCTGGGAAGGCTCAGACCTGGGGTTTCTAAGCTGCTTAGGGCAAACTGAGTAGTATCTCAGGTGGATAGGGCAGAACACCCTCAGCCGCCCCTTTCCCACCAGGACTTGCCAGATCCTTTGTATGATGCTTCGAAAGTTCAACTTCCCCACCGTTGCGCTGCACTCCATGATGAAGCAGGTGGGGGCTTCGGCCACAGCCTTGCCCTGGGACACCCTCTGCCTTACGTTCCTCCACAGCCTCTCTGTAGTCTTAGATCACTGGGAGTGTGGCTCAGTTGGAAGAGGGCTATGATTCAGTTGATAGAATGCTTGTGGCTCAGTTGGCAAAATGCTTGCCTAACATGCAGGAAATCTTGGGTTTCATCCCCAGCATCCTATAAACCAGGTGTAGCACACACCTATCATTCCAGCACTCAGGAGGTAGAAGCAGGAGAATTAGGTTCGAGGCCAGCCTTGGCTATATAGGGAGTTCAAGACTAACCAGGACTACACGATACCTAGTTCTATGATAACCCCCCACCCTCTCCCCATCATCCCTTTGTTCCCAAGGGTCTTGGACTCTGACCTTAGGAGGTGGGGACTGTCCTGGTCCCTACCTTGTCCCCAGGTGCCTTTTTTTCACTCACAACCTCTTTCCTGTTATGGCACAGAAAGAGCGCTTCGCAGCTCTAGCTAAGTTCAAGTCCAGCATCTACCGGATTCTCATTGCCACTGATGTGGCTTCGAGGTAACAGGGCTTACTGGGGTGTTTCCTTACAAGGGAAACTTGGGGCTGGGGCTGGGCACTGGACAAGCTGTCTCAGCATCAGTTTCCCCACATGGACAGCACAGCACAGCTGACCTTCTCTACCTCCAGGGGCCTAGACATCCCCACAGTGCAGGTGGTTATCAACCACAACACTCCTGGCCTCCCAAAGATCTACATCCACCGAGTAGGTCGCACAGCCCGTGCAGGTGAGCAGAGGGATGTGGGTGGGTTCCACATGTTGGGGTGCCATTTTCTTTTTTAATTTTATTTTGGTCTTTTTGAGACAGGGTCTCCCTGTAGCCCCAGCTGGCCTAGAACTTGCTTTGTAGACCAAGCTGGCCTTGAACTCACAAAGATCCGCCTGTCTCTACCTCCCAAGTGCTGGGACTGAAGGTGTGCACCACCATGCCTGGCTGGGGTGCCATTTTCAAGTGGGGGAATCAGATCTGCCCTTCAAAACAAAGGCTGAACTGCGGGGCTCCAGACCAGCCCCTCACTGGGATGCTGGCCCATGGGCCGGTAAGACATCTGCTAAAGAGTCCCTTGTGCTTGGAACCAGGGGAGCCATGGTTGCTGGGGCTGGACTGGGCCTGGTCCTGCAACCCCAATCAAACTATTTTCTCTGAGAGGGTTCCCTGTCTCAATAGATAATGAACAAGAAAGATGATGCCTGTTTGAGGTTGTTGTGGGTCCTGGGCCCTGCCAGCGAACAGTTTTGCATTGGTCCTGGTCACCGTCATAAAGGGGAGGAGCAGAGTAGGTAGGGCTAAGCTGCCCAGTCAGCCCTCATATAAGGCCAGCCTAGCACAGAGCTGCATCCCCAGTGTCTGCCAGCTCCTCTGGAACACAGCCACCCTCCATACACAAACTCCATCTGTGTGGGTCCCAGCCCTTGGAGCTAATCTCTTCCCAGCTGAGCTTTTGTTATGCACCTCTGAAGAGGATCCTGGACCTCTTCGGCTGGGACAAGCTTTTTTATGGGGCCCATGATCTGTAGCAGATGTGTCCCCACAGGGCGGCAGGGACGGGCCATCACGCTGGTGACACAGTATGACATCCACCTGGTGCATGCAATTGAGGAGCAGATCAGTGAGTAGAAAGGCCTGGGTGTATGGGGCGGGGCCTGCTTGATCCCGGGAGATGGCTTTGGCTTCCATTGCTGGACCACCCTGGGAATCCATCCTTAACACCATATAAAGAAAGCCAACCCCAGCTCCATAAGGGGCTGCCAACTGCTGATGGTGCACCTGGGGTAGGGGGATGGGAGAGGACTTGGGTTCTCAGGCCTGACATGTAGTGTCCCCCAACTCCCTACATCCAGCATGAGACAGATGCCTGCTGCCATCCTATCTAAAACAGCCACTGGGACAGACCCTGTTGCTGTTGCTGCAGACCCATCTCGAGCTTGGTAACAGTTTTGTTTTTTGAAATAATGTCTCACTGTGCAAGTCTTGAGTCAGGTGATCAGCTTCAGCCTCCCTTGGAGCTTGGACCACAGGTGCCCAGCTCTGACCTTATTCATTCATTCTTTAATTAATTTATTTATTCAATTATTTGAGCCAGGGTCTTGCTCTACAGAGCTGGCCTGGAACTCAGATTGATCATACTGTCACAGCCTTAGGAGGCATGCTTTGATGTGCATGCCGTAACACCTGGCACATTTTGCTTTTTTTCCATATATTGAATCCACATTTGGTTCAACCTATACAACCAGAAAGAGGGGTGTGAAAGGCCAGCTGAACTCAGCCAAAATTGACAGTATTGCTGACACCAAAAAATTGACAGCCTGTCTGCCACCCCCCCCCCAAATATCTGGCTTCCTGAAGGCCTCCAGCCTTGCACACCAGTGATTCACTACTAGCCTGTGCTCCCCTCCCTGCCCACAGAGAAGCAGCTGGAGGAGCTGTCGGTGGAGGAAGCTGAGGTCCTACAGATCCTGACTCAGGTCAATGTGGTGCGAAGGGAGTGTGAGATAGTAAGTGTGGGACAGCGAGGGCTGGGGTGGGACTGGGCTCCTTTACATAAAGCCCAAGGGCCCCTGACCCATCTGTACCTCCCACTAGAAACTGGAGGCTGCCCACTTTGATGAGAAGAAGGAGATCAACAAGCGGAAACAGCTGATTCTAGAGGGCAAGGTGGGTCCAGGAGCAGCTGAGCCTGATGCAGGGGTGGGTGTGGTTGGAGATGCTTGTGTGTTGGGAAGCAAGGCCCAGCATGGTCCTCCCTCCTGGTCAGGACCCGGACCTGGAGGCCAAGCGCAAGGCAGAGCTGGCCAAGATCAAGCAAAAGAACCGGCGCTTCAAGAAGAAGGTGGAGCAGACACTGAAGCGGCAGAAGGCTGGGAGTGCCAGCAGGGGGCATCGCCCACCCAGGCCCCGGTCCCAGGCATCCCTGTCGTTCACCCAGAACCCTGTCTGAATTCTGCAGGATGACAGCTGCCTGGTTTAGGACTGACTCCTTGCTAAGGCACCAGCACCCCCATGAGCCATGCCCCCTCAGGGATCTCGAAGTCCCCACCCCACCTAGGGACGGTACACCTGTGTAGGAGACAGTAAACACTCTGAACTCTTTCAGTCCAACTCTTATAAATGGGGCAAGACAGGGTGTAGACACCTTCGAGTCCCTCAAGCATCATGTTTCCCCAGGGTATCTTGCATCTACAGCCATGTGGACTCCCTGCCTGCCCACACTGGATGTGGAGGCCAGTGCTGCTGCCTGAGTAGGGCACACAGAGGACCTTTGCTGCTCCCAGAGTGTGGCTCAGTGACCAAAGGAACTCAGGGCAGAAGCCAGTGACAGCAGGTGCCAACAGCCACATACAGACTCATAGAAATGTAGTCTGGGCACCAGCACCGACAGGGATTCTAGAAAAAGCTACACAGTGCAAAGCTCAGACAGCCTGGGGCTCTGTGGCTTGGCCCGCCCTGAGCGCAGCTGGGTCCCCTGGTCCATGCCAGGGTGCCATGAGGCTATCCTGCGACGAGCACAAAAAGACGAATGTCGCAGATCGGCCTAGGCCTGGGGCTCAGGGTGCAGCCTCAGCCAGGCGTGCTAGGCCCTCCCGCAGCTCACTCAGCTCGAACAGCCGCATGTCCAGCAGTTGCACTGCACGGCCCACCTCTGCCCGAGCGTGCTCCCGCTCCGCCCGCACCTCCTCCAGGCTGCGCTCTGTGGCCCGCAGCTGGCGCTCCAGCTCCGAGTTTCGGGTCTCCAGGTCCTGCAGCAGGGAGAAAGGAGCTCAGGGCCAAGGACCCCAAAACTCAAGGGTCACCAGTTCTGCCTGGAGCCCCTGACTCCCAGCCTGCACCCTCTGTAGATGACTGGGTTGGTCAGATGCTGGCCTGGAAGCGCTGTAATCCCAGCACTGGGGAGACAGACAGGAGGCTCCTAGGGGCATACTGGCCAGCAGTCTTGGGCAGCAGGCCTGTCAGAGATCCTATTTCATAAGACAAGATGAGGGGCTGGTGAGATGGTTAGGAGAGCATACTTCTCTTCAGAAGAGCCAAATTAGGTTGAGTACCTGTGTCATGAGGATTCACAAAGACCTGTACTCTAGTACTAGGGAATCTTGACATCTCTGGTCTCCATGGACAAACCCCACACAGACACATAATTAAAAATAAAAATACATGGTGGCGCGCGCCTTTAATCCCAGCTCTCAGGAGGCAGAGGCAGGCGGATCTCTGTGAGTTCAACCAGCCTGGTTTACATAGTGCATTCCAGGCCAGCTGGGGCTACAGGGAGACCCTGTCTCAAAAAGACCAAAAAAATAAAAAAATCTTATACAACAAAACAGGGCTGGCAAGATGGCCCAGTGGGTAAAGGTACTTGCTACGAAGCCAGAGGACCAGAGTTCTGTCTCCAGAACCCACATAGAAACATGGAAGAAGAAAGGAAAGACTCATACGAGCTGTCCTCTGAACACACACACAAACCTTGAAGCTTAAAAACAAGAGCCAGAAGGATGGTTCCATTGTTAATAGCATTGGCTGCTCTTTCCCCCACACCCACATAATGGCTAACAACCACCTGTAACTCCACTTCCAAGGAATTTGATCTCTGGCCTCCATAGACACTGCACTTAAATACATTCAGGCAAAACACTCATACACATAAGTTAAAAGTAAATCTTTCTAGCCAGCGTGGTAGCACAAGCCTTTAATCCCAGCACTTGGGAGGCAGAGGCAGGCAGATCTCACCAAGGTCAGCCTGGTCTACATAGTGAGTTCCAGGCCAGCTGGGAACTGTGAAACTGTCTCAAAAAAACAAAAATGAAGGCTGGAGAGATGGCTCAGCACTGACTACTCTTGCAGAGGACCCGGGTTTGTTTCCCAACATCCACATGGTGGCTAGCAACCGTTTGTAACTCCAGTTCCGGGGATCCAATGCCTTCTTCTGACCTCCGTGGGCTTTGCATGACATGGGTGCACTTACATGCAGGCAATACATGCATATACGTAAAAATAATAAAATATATAAAAGAGTGGGGCTGAGGAGGTGGCTGAGTGGGTAAGTGCCTGCCATACCAGCATGAGCTCAGACCAGCACTAGTGTAAAAGGTGGGTGCACCAGGAATGAAGGAAGTATGAGCTCAGGGGGTGTGGGGAATCTGTGGCACAGCCAGCCTAGCCACTCTGAGCTTTAGGATCAATGAGAGACTGTCTCAAAGGATAAAGTGGAAAGGGTTGAGCAAGACACATGACTCTGACCTCTGGCTTCCACATGTACATGTGAATGCATCTGCATGCACACATGAACACATACACAGATACACCACACAGGAAAACCAAGATGGATGGTACCTGAGGAATGACACCTTAGGTTGGCCTCTGGCTTCCACAGTCCTGTGTGTGTGTGGCACACTCACACATAGCAACACTAAACTCTCCTGTTGATCCTCTCACGGAATAAAATACTTGGTCCCAGATGGACCACCAGTTCCAGCCTACTTTGCTTCTTGGCAGTTCCTCACACGTGTGGCCTTCCCTCCTGCCTCAAGGCTGCATATGCTGTGCCCATGGCCACAAGACAACAGTGATCATTTTCCTAACTTTTCTCCCCAGGAATCTTCTGTGGACACCTCCGCACCCACATAATGGCTAACAACCACCTGTAACTCCACTTCCAAGGAATTTGATCTCTGGCCTCCATAGACACTGCACTTAAATACATTCAGGCAAAACACTCATACACATAAGTTAAAAGTAAATCTTTCTAGCCAGCGTGGTAGCACAAGCCTTTAATCCCAGCACTTGGGAGGCAGAGGCAGGCAGATCTCACCAAGGTCAGCCTGGTCTACATAGTGAGTTCCAGGCCAGCTGGGAACTGTGAAACTGTCTCAAAAAAACAAAAATGAAGGCTGGAGAGATGGCTCAGCACTGACTACTCTTGCAGAGGACCCGGGTTTGTTTCCCAACATCCACATGGTGGCTAGCAACCGTTTGTAACTCCAGTTCCGGGGATCCAATGCCTTCTTCTGACCTCCGTGGGCTTTGCATGACATGGGTGCACTTACATGCAGGCAATACATGCATATACGTAAAAATAATAAAATATATAAAAGAGTGGGGCTGAGGAGGTGGCTGAGTGGGTAAGTGCCTGCCATACCAGCATGAGCTCAGACCAGCACTAGTGTAAAAGGTGGGTGCACCAGGAATGAAGGAAGTATGAGCTCAGGGGGTGTGGGGAATCTGTGGCACAGCCAGCCTAGCCACTCTGAGCTTTAGGATCAATGAGAGACTGTCTCAAAGGATAAAGTGGAAAGGGTTGAGCAAGACACATGACTCTGACCTCTGGCTTCCACATGTACATGTGAATGCATCTGCATGCACACATGAACACATACACAGATACACCACACAGGAAAACCAAGATGGATGGTACCTGAGGAATGACACCTTAGGTTGGCCTCTGGCTTCCACAGTCCTGTGTGTGTGTGGCACACTCACACATAGCAACACTAAACTCTCCTGTTGATCCTCTCACGGAATAAAATACTTGGTCCCAGATGGACCACCAGTTCCAGCCTACTTTGCTTCTTGGCAGTTCCTCACACGTGTGGCCTTCCCTCCTGCCTCAAGGCTGCATATGCTGTGCCCATGGCCACAAGACAACAGTGATCATTTTCCTAACTTTTCTCCCCAGGAATCTTCTGTGGACACCTGTCCTTTAACATAGGATGTGCTCCAGGCCTATTTCTCCAGCCAGCAGGCTGTGTGACCTCACTCTGGGCCAAGGCTGCAAAGGGGTGGGTGTGAGGCCCCTGGCCTTCCCAATCCTTCACAACCTTGGGTTGATATCCCTATCCACCTTACAGGTGAATGAACAGTTTTGGGGGGCAGACCTGGGGCTATCCTATCTATCCCAGGGGGCCTCCCTTACACCCTACACCCCACACCCACACACCTGAACCTTCTGCTGCGTCTCCTCCCGCTCAGTGTTGTCAGCTGCCTCTCTCCCTGCAGTCTGATTCTTCAGTGTCTGAATCTCCTAGAGAGGAGAAGGTTTCCGGGGTTTGTTCGGGGTCCCCGGGTTCTCCAGAGGCAGATGAGGGAAGGCAAGGCTCACCTGGTCCTTGGTCTGCACACGAGCCTCCAGCTGCTCCAGAGACTGGCTGGGCACCTCCTTCTCACCGGCAGAGGGCGGCTCTGCAGCTGCCTGAGCCTCCAGTTCGGCCACCTGCGCCGGCAGGAAGCTCAAAAATTACCACGCTCAGGGCAGCTCAGACTTCGAGGGTCTGATGATTCCCGTGAAGGTTTCCTTATCTCAGACATATTTTACAGAGCAAGAAACTGAGCTCTGGGAAGTGACACGTAGAGGTCCCGGGGTGAGTCCGAGGAAGGGAAGGGAGTTCTCACCCGCTGCCGCAGGCGCTCGGCCTCTGCTCGCTGGGCCTCCAGCTGCTGCCTCCACTGCGTGGCGGCCGCATTGGCCTCTCGGAGGGCCCCCGCCAGCTTGTTGTTGCTGTCCTGCAGCGCGAAGAACTCGGCTTCCCACTGCACCTCGCCCACGGAGCTGCGGGAACCGAAAGGGCTCAGGATCTCAGGGGTAAAGACACGAGGCCAGGCCGAGTGGCATCTGGTTGGTGTCCCGCTGGGTTAGGAACAGGGCCAAAGCAACCTTGAGCTTGGGACAGGGGACCATGAGAACTAGGCAGATGGTGCCGGGCATGGTGGCTCATGTAGCTGAGGCAGGAGGATCGCCACAAGTTCGTTGCCAGCCCAGGCTACAGGGTGAGGCCTAGGCCAAGCTGAATTGTATGCATAGCAAGATTTGTCTAAAAACATTGGCAACATCTGCCACCACCCAACAGTCACGAGACCGCCCAAGGGAGCAACAGAATGGGGCACGGGGAGCCAGTCTGTGGGAGAGGCCGAACCGGGTAGGGGCCTGGGTGAAGTGAAAAGAGGCTCTGGGAGCCTCAAGGAAAGGGGCGGAGCCAGCCCGGGGGCGTAGCCTACACAGAAGGATGAGGACAAGGGGCAGGTTCTCGCCAGATGAGGCAGGATCCAAGATGCAGAGTTCACGGTCGCCCAGGTATGACCACGCCCACCACAAAGCAAGGTCCAAGTAGCCACACCCCCAAACCCCAGTCTACAGCCTTGTACCTGGGCATCCCGCCCAGGCACGGCCACGCCCACCCGCAGAGGCCACACCCCGCGCCGCCCCACCACACCCTCCCACACCCCAGGCACATCCTTAAAGCCCTACGCACCCTTCGGTGACCACTCCCACCCACCACAAGCTTCCGCCCATTACACCCAGTCTCTCCCCACCCTGCCCTTTGAAACCACACCCCCAGGTCACGCCTACTCGGGGCTTGTAACCCCGCCCAGGCGCCCCACGCCTCACCCCTCTGACAACATCTTCTTTAGTCGCTCGCGCTCTGTGGGACAGGGGGCGTCTGCGCTTTGACTGCGGAACAGTTTCTCCTCTCCAGGGCCGTTGGTGCTGACAAGGGGGCTCGGGGGCACCTATGGTGGGAGCGAGGACCGGGTCACGTTGAACAGTGACTGACTTAAGGTAAGAACAGATTAGGAGGTCAGGGCTACGAGGTCACTGGATTCTTTACCAAGGTCAGGGAGTCTGAATCGACCTGTGGAGCCCAATGCATTTCTCTCCCCACCTCGTTCACGCTCAATAGCTCCCCAAAGCCCGTACAAGGGGGATCCGAGTGCCCTACCTGCCTGCCTAAGTCTTCACCAACCCCTCAAGGCCAAAGTGGAATAACTTGCAAACTTTAGGAATCTAAACATTCAGCCCAATTCCCAGGTAACACTTTCCCTGGGGACAGAGATTTCAAACATACCTTTTAAAATTGGGGCATGGCTTGGGCCAGCAAGATGGCTCAGTAGGTAAAGGAGCTTGCCACCAAGCCTGATAACCTGAGTGTCCTCTAACTTCCACATGTTCCCTGGATGCATGTGGGTGAACACACATATATACACACACACACACACACACACACACACACACACACAAATTAATGTGTAAGGTCATCACTGAGCCTTCTGTCTCAGGCACCAGCACAGTGCAGTGACCGTATCAGAGGAGAGCCTAGCTGACTCAGGTGCAGTAGGCATGGGGGGCAGGGACCACCTACCTGATGGGAGGCCAGTGCCAGGGCAGGACTGGTGAATTCCCCTCCATCTTGAGACTTCTCCCGAGCCAGCCTGGCAGCTTCCTTCACTTCCTGGAACTTCTCAGCAAACTGGAGGTGAGGCAAGAGGGCAGTCAGCAGCAGCCCCCACCCCATCACATCACCACAGCTCCCTGTTGGGCCCTGTCACCTAGGAGACAACCTTAGGAGCTGTGCTCAAACCAAAAGGGAGAGATTTGGGAAAGGTGGGTTGGCAGTGTGGGTATCAGGGTGATGCCCTGCATATCTCTGACCTCCACGCATGTGCCCATATACATACACACAACAGTAAATGAAAATGCAATATTTTTTTTCTCTTTTTGAGGCAAGGTCTCCCTGTAGTCCCAGCTGGCCTGGAACTCACTCTGTAGACCAGGCTGGCCTTGAACTCAGAGATCTGCCTGCCTTTGCCTCACTAGTGCTGGGATTAAAGGTGTGTACCACCACGCCTGGCCTAAAAATGCAATATTCTTTATTTAAAATTCTACATGTATTTATGTTCTGTGTGTGTGTGTCTGTGTGTATGTGCGTGTAGGTCAGAGAACAACTTGTGGGAATCTGTTCTCTCCTTCCAACCATGTGGGTCCCAGGGATTGAACTCAGCAACCAGTGCTTTTACCAGCCTGAGACATGTACCCATATCGTTCAATGCCCGAGGAGGTCCTCTGTAAGAGCTGCCAATGCTCCACTGAGCCATCTCTTCAGCCCCGTTTTTTAAAATTTTTTAAAAAAACACAATGGATACAGTACTACACGGAGACAGAAACTGAAGGGAGGTAGTTCTAGGACAGGTGAGATATGTCCTGCCCAGGCCAAACTCCCATTTGATGTCCAAAGAGGGCCAGGGTTATGCACAGTTGGGTCAAGCCTGGAGCAGAACCAGCCTCCACCCAGGGCACTCAAAGGGGCTTCATCTCATCTTTGAGCCCACTCCACAGCTGGGAATATGGAGGCCAGCACCGGTGTGGTAGAACATAGAAACCCAGCCCTGCCCTTGTCCATGCCCACCTGGGTCAGGTGTTGCTCAGAGGCAAAGCCCAGGCCATAGACGGTGTTGGCGCGGCTGTCTGCCCACTGCCCAAACTTCTGAGAGGTTTTGGTAAAGGTCATGTTGGGGGTGACAGTACTATTGATGATAGCCTGGGGGGGGGTCAAAATTCAAGATCAGTAGGATTCATAATAGCTACCAGGAACCAGTCAGGGCAGTCATCCCAGCAGCTAGGGAAAAGGACTGAAATTCAAGGCCAGCCTGGGCTGCACAGTGAGACATGTTAAAATATACTTTATAGGGATGTGGCTCTACAATAGAGCCCTTGCCTAGAATCCTCCCGTGACTGGCTAGGGGCATGGCAGAGGTAGAGTGAAAGCCTAGAATCCTCCAGTGAGGGATTGTAGTATATAGCACAGTGGTAGAGCCCCTGCCTAGAATCCTCCAGTGACTGGCTAGGGGCATGGCAGAGAGGTAGAGTGACAGCCTAGAATTCCTCAGTGAGGGGTTGTGGTATGGCTTGGTGGTAGAGCTCCTGCCTAGAATCCCCCAGTGAGGGGCTGAGGTAGAGTTCTTGCCCTAGCACATGGAGGCTCAGTGCTCCATTGCCACCACAGAGACGACTGATAGTCTGAATGATGGTGCTGTTCTAGAATAAGAAGCTGGGGACCAGAAAGGCTCACTGATTCCCATCCCTCCAGTTCCCCAGCAAGCAAGGCCTGTGGCCACAGCCCCTAAGCCAACCCCACCCCAAGCCCCTGCTGGGACCTTGGCACCCCCAATGCTGATGATGCGGTAGACATTTCGGGTGGCATCGTAGAAATAGGACACTGTGAGTGCATGTTTGCCCGCCGGGATCCAGTTCCGCTTGGTGCTGGGGTCAATCTGGAACACATGTGCACGGGTGCTGAAGATTGGCTGTTCCCTGCAGGGGGATGGGGTGCTCAATGAGGGGCCACACACACCCCCTAGGGTGTTCACTTGGGCCAGGATGGGTGGGGACTCACCTGGCTGTGGACATTGGTCAGGCTGGGATGGATGGGCTCTAAGGGGCAACCAGAGGGGTGACAGGAGCAGCTGGTTTGGCCCCTGGGGAGAGAAGGGGCTTGTGACTCTCAGGAAATGCTGAGTAGACCAAGTAAGTCCACCATGTGGCTTCATAGAACCACCAAAGAGAGTAAGTCACTTGGAGCAAAGGCACTCTCTCTCTCTCTCTTCTCCCTCCCTCCTTCCCCCCTCTCCCTCCCTCTCCCTCTCCCTCTCTGACAGGATCTCAGGTAGTGCAGGCTGGCCTTGAACTCACTATATAGCCAAGGATGTCCTTGAACTCCTGATCCTCCAAGCCTCCACCTCCCAAGTGTTAGGATGACAGACATGGACCATGACACCCAGTTTATGCCGTGCTGAGGATAGAACCCAGGGTTTCACCATGCTATGCAAGCGCTCTTCCGACTGGACAGCATCCCCACCCCAAAGTCCTCCTTTTTCTCTGAGAAGCCCCCACAACTGGTTTGAGTGGTCTCAAGGGGGAAACCAGAGAGGTGGTAGGCCACATGCCAGGCCAGGAGACAGCTCTGAGAAAAGCCAAGTGGTCCCTGGCATGCCAACAAGACTCATAGTCCTAGTTATTAGTCAGCAAAAGTGACTTCCATCAGGAGCTGGGTGTGGAGGTCAAGGTCAAGTGTGGAGATATGAATTCACACCCCCCCAGTTCCCCAATAGGGCTTCCCATCAAAGGTGGGCAAAGCTGACACAGTGGTGAGAGCCTTGTGGTCCCGGCTACTCAGGAGGTGGAGGCAATTGGATTGCTTGAGCCCTGGAGTTCAAGGCTACCCTGGACATCACAGCCAGATCTGCACTCTGAAAATAAAAGTGGGGTGCTTCCAGAGACTTGCAGGGAAACAAGGACTTCTCTGCTCCCACATACCCTAAGAGCACAGGTACACCTTGGAATCAAGAGTCCCAGACCCCAAGGAGCCACTAGCCTAGTTAAAAAGCCATGCTGTAAGCCAGGCTTGGTGGCACTGGCCTGGCGTCCCAGCAGTGGGAAAGATGAGGCAGGAGGATTGCTGAGACTTTAAGGCCAACTTGGGCTACAAAGTGAGACCTTATCCTAAAAAACCACACACACACACACACACACACACACACACACAAAGCAATCCCAGTGCCCAGCATGTAAGCAGGCAAAACACAAAACTGGGGGAAGGGGGCTCTCCAGCCTCCTTGTGGGTGCCTCTTCCCGTTACCCTGCACGCTTAGAGACGTTCGACTGGCCTTCTGAGACTCCAAATCTGCATCCAGGGAACCCCAGAGGGGTTTGGAGCTGGAAGACTCCGGGTGGGGAAAGGCAGGCCCCAGCCAGGAGCCTGTGAGGTCAAAGGGGGGATACCCCCCCATGCTGTCCCCGGAAGCTGCTGTCAGGTCACAGGGTCTGAAACCGGAACCCCCATGCGGGGGAGGGGCGGTAGCTCCGCCAGAGTTGGGGGCCAGTTTTGGAACCATCAGGGATTGGAGGGTGAAGAGGTCCCTGGAACCCAAGCCCTTCTGGTCGAGCTGCTCCTGCTGAGACTTGCAACGTTCGGGAAAACTTACTCACCAAGTAGTCACGAGCTTGGACGCCGCAGGGCGCGGGGAGGGGGATCCCAGACCGCGCAGGCTAGGCCCCTGCCCTGAGCCCTAGACCTGATACCTACTTGAGATCTGGTCCCCACCCGCGCCGACAACCCCTGTGCGCCCCAACTTCGCAGCTCCTCAGACCTTGCAACTTTCAGAGTACCAGGCTGCAGTGTCGCGCTCCGGGGACACCGTGCCCCCGACAGTCCCAACTCCGGGCGGACCCCCGCACCCTCCAGCCGGGTCTGGGCTCCGGGGATCCCACCGTGTGGAAACTCGCACCCCAGCCCCGCAGCCCCGCAGCTCCGCGAGCCGTCGCGGCGTCCGAGAGCGCAGTCTGCAACTTTGAGAACCAGCGTGTTCCCGGCTCCCGGATCGCGCCTCGTGAAGTCGGGGGGACGGCGGCCTCGGAACTCCAGGGTCCCTCTGGGCGCGTCCCGTCCGGGCCCGGCTCACCCCGCGTCGGCGCCCC